GGGGTAAATGAGAGCAGGGGGGTGAAGCTGGAAAGCATGGAGGGGTAACTCAAGTGTGCTGCAAATGGTCTGGTGACGGTGGAACAAGACCAGGCCGCATGGACTTCTGAAACTTTGACAGGGATCCCCCCTCTGAAAACACATCGGACCTGGATGGAGAAGACATCCTCCACAGACATGCTAAAGGGCTTGTCCAGGGCGCGGGTGGGCTCCGGCATGTAGGCATCCACCTCCGCCATCAGCTTCAGGATGGCGTCCCTGCGGGGGGTGGAAGGGGGCGACGCAGGGAGGGGACAGGGTGGGGAACGTGGTGGGGCGGCCCAGCGCGGGGCAGGGGCGTGCGACGCTTGGCGCATGCGCCAAGGGGTTTGGGGCCGGTCAGACACGCATCAACGTTTCAGTGGGTCGGGGCGTGTTGCCCCGGCCCTCAATAGGAAGGCAACAGATTACTGTAATGTATCATCACCCCGGGCCCTGTCTCAACAGGCAGGTGCGTGCGCTCAAGGGCAGCGCGCCATGCACAGCTTGCCAGGCCATCCATACCACAGCTCACCTGCCGATGGGGTGGTTCTCGCCCTTGAGGGCTGCCAGGGCAGACCCACGCACGATCGGGATCTCGTCGCCAGGAAACCTGGGTGGTTATGAGGCGGTTATTTTGGGGTCGTCCACGTGACAAAGGTGGGTGGTGCTGGTGGGGTGCGGGCGCGCTGTTACCAGACCACAGCTCCTTGGGGTGCCTGTTGGGCACAGCAGCCACCCAACAGCCCCACAACGCGCTCACTTGTAGAAGGAGAGGAGCTCGCGCAGCTCCATCTCCACCAGCTCCACCAGCTCTTCGTCCTCCACCATGTCAATCTTGTTGAGGAAGCAGACGATGGAGGGGACGCCCACCTGCAGGCAGGGTTTGGGGGCGAGGTGCTTCCTTGCAAGAGGCGGCATAATATTCAGGCATGGGGAGCAGTCATTAGGGCAGTCTGCAGAGCACTGCAACACGACACCCGCTTTCCACAAACCGTCAAACACACAAGGGCCAACCACCCCCAGCCACCCCTTCGCTTCCCACCGTCTCACCTGGCGGGCCAGCAGGATGTGCTCCCGCGTCTGGGGCATGGGGCCGTCGGTGGCGGAGACCACGAGGATCGCGCCGTCCATCTGCGCCGCGCCGGTGATCATGTTCTTCACGTAGTCGGCATGGCCGGGGCAGTCGACGTGGGCGTAGTGCCGCTTGTCGGTCTGGTACTCCACATGCGCGGTGGCGATGGTGATGCCGCGCGCTTTCTCCTCGGGCGCCTTGTCGATCTCGTCGAAGGCCACGGCCTTGGAGTTGCCGGCCTCAGCCAAGACCTGGGAGAGGAAGGGGGGGTGCTTTTTGCCTTTAGAAATCCCCGCGCTCGGTCCCACGCCGGGACCGACCCGTCTATGCTGTGCCACCGAGTGTCCGAAGGGTTAATTCCATACCTCCCGGACGCGAGCCGAGCTGACATGCATTGCCTTCCCTGCTCGAGGGGCGCGTGCACCCTGTCTCCGCTCACCTTGGTGATGGCAGCCGTGAGGGTGGTCTTGCCGTGATCGACGTGACCGATGGTGCCAATGTTGAGGTGTGGCTTGGAACGACTGTTAATATCGTACTCCGCGCTGTATGGTCGGCTGCTCAGCGTCAGGTGCAGGGGTCCGGCGCTGTGCGAGGACAGGGCGAGACTGGTGATGGACCCGGTGGTGCATGCGTATCAGTCTCTATTGAGGCATACATCAAAGGATGTAAAGAGCCGGATTTTCCCACGCTGTCCTACAAAACTCACATCCGTGCGACCTCCGCCTGTGTCGCCGGCCCAGCCTGCACGAGGGTGGCGCATCGGGCCAGGGCCCCCGCCGCGGCACGCCGGAACATCCTAGCGCGTCAACTGAGTGTCAGTGTGCAAGCAGAAGAGAGCTGCAGGGGCGTGGAGGCCAGGGTTGAGCACCCTCAAGAGGAAGCGTGAACCTGTGGCCCTTGGTGGAAAGTAAGGAGACCACCACCGGACTGTACCCCACCGACCATCCGCATTCCATGGGTGCTGACACGAGGTGGGGCATCGAAAGCATGAGAGAGGTGAATGGCTTTTATTATTCCGGCTTAACCACTCGAACTCGCAATGGGGAGTTGCATCGCCGGCCGCAGAACGCGTGTGCTGCTGATGGGAAACTTGCCATGCAATAGCTGGCTTGGTAGGGCGTCCGGCACGTAGTATACCGTTCCTCGCTCCGCCATCGGCCATGGAAGACACCTCGAGGTATGGCCATTGCATTTTTCCAGTATATTTCCAGGTTTGATACCGAATCATGGTTGCCTCTCCAGCCATTCAAAGGACATCCTAAACTACCAACCCAATGCCAGGCCCCCGCTCCTGTCACCCGACCTGCCCCGCTTCCCGGGATTCTGTGATGGTGAAGATGGCAATCCTGAACCTGACTGGAGCCCTCCCTCCTCGCCGTTGTCCTGCGAGGATGTCCATGACATGGCCCCCGACGGCGCATTCCTGACCCTGGAGGGATTCAGAGCGCACTCACAGCTCGCCCATGTCGCCTTCCAAGCAGCACGGGTGAGGGTGCGGGTATGGGAGTAGCAGTCTTGCAGGGCATGGGACTGCCCTTGCACGAGCTCCGCCAGCGACTGGTGGAGGGTCGTCCATCCACCAGGTCCATCAATGTTGTCAGGATGAGGGAAAACCCCACTCGCCAAGCTGTCATGAGGAGGAGGAACAAGATGATCCAGCACTCCCATTGCATAACACTGTTTCGGACAGTTCTGCAGAGGAAGCAGCGTCCGACGCCGAGTCCAAACACCTGGAGGTGCTGCGGGGATGGGGGTGCTCGGTGGGTGGTGCACCTTGCAGAAGCCTTCATAGTCTCCTACCATCAGGCCCCGAGGCCCAATGTCTGGCAGAGGCAGCCCATCAGTGCAAGGATCACTGGGAGTATGACATCCATTGGTGATGCATGCCGACTGTGAGGACCCCACCTGGCCCCCGACAGGATGAGGCAGAGGCCTTCCCTGCCGATGACGTCATCGTGGCTGCGCTGGAATCCGCGGGACCCCGGCGCCTCCCGGCCGACGTGCGCCCCGGCACGCCTGCTGCCAGGGCCGTCGACTTGGCGCTCATCAGGCTGGGCGCCGCCAGCTGGACGGCCCTGTTCAGCGAGGCGGCCGCCGAGCGGGGATGCGGTGCGGGGACCGGAGGCAGGAGCGTGACCCTGGCCGAGGCCCTCAACCCCGAGCACCCGCGCCACCACGCCGCGTTCGCCGAGGCGTTCCGCGCCGCGCGCGCGGGGCTGGCGCGCGAAGCCGCGCCCCGCGAGGCCGCTGGCCGGGGCGGCGGGTGCGGCCGGGGCCGGGGTCCCCCAGCATCGGGACAGGACGACGCCGCCCCGCGCTCAGCCCTGACCCCGGCCGACCATGCGTGGTACCTGGCCACGGCGGCGCGGCCGCTGCAGGGCGCCGAGGCCGCGCGGCGGGCGGCCCTGGACGTGAGGCTGGCAGCCGAGCGCGCGCTGTACGCCGGCGCGGTGCGCGCGGCGCTGGCGCGCGGCACCGAGCGCTACGCGCACCTCACGCCGCGCCAGGCGGGCCAGCTGGAGGACGATGCGGTGCTGCGCCGGCGGCGGGTGGACAGGCTGCCCCGCCTGGTGCGCCTGGCGCTGACGGTACCGGCGGCCGGCGGCGGGGGAGGCGCCGCGGCGCTGCGCAGGGAGCACACGCTCGCGCCGCCGGTCCCCTGCTCCGCCCTGCCCGCCTGGACCCCCCCTGCGCCGGGCGCCGCCGTCCCCGGGAACCGGTACTACCTGCCCAAGGTCCTGGCGGCGGGGGAGGGGCCGGGCGGGCGCCGCGGCGCCGCCGCCACAGCATACCGCAAGCCCCCCTGCCGGTGGGACCGGGACCCCCCCGACCTCCCCGCCCCCACGCCCGGCTGCCGGTCGAGCTGGGCAGGCAGCGCGCTGCGCGCCGTGCTGGCGGGCGCGGGCCCCTGGGAGATCCCGCTGACCGTGAGCGGCGGAGACGAAGGCCCGCACGCCTGCTTCCACAAGCCGCTGCCGCGGCGGGGGGCCAATGCGCGCCAGCGCCAGCAGCGCCTGCAGCGCGCGGCGGCGCTGAGCCTGGGCGGCGCCGACGGGGCCAGGCGCGCGGAGGCTGTGGCCGTGTTTGCCCTGGGCACGCACCGCCTGGCCGTGCACAGCCGTGCCGGCCTCTGCGTGCTCGGCGGCGCCTGGGCCCAGGCGGCCGGGTGCTCGGCGACGGCCGAGCGCGGGGAGCAGGGGGATGGGGCCGCGGAGCGCGAGGCCGACGATAGGATTGGCGCTGAGCGTACTGTGGAAGAGCCCGCAGCAGTCCCTGCCTCGGCGCTCCCCAGCCCTGACCCAGGCTCCACCTCAGACCCTGTCCCAGACCATACCTCGGCCCTCAGCGCAGCCCCCTCCACCACCGCCTCCCCCTCCCCCGAGCCCTGCCGCGTGGTGCTGGGGGTGCGGGTCGAGTACCTGCCCTCCCCGGCGCGCGAGGCGGCGACGCTGGACGAGCTGGCCTGGCTGGCGGCCGGGCTGGCGCTGGACCCGGAGGCACGCGGCGCGCTGGTCGCCGCCGTGCACGTCCCCACGGCGCGCTTCCTGGGCACGCAGGCGCTGACACGCGAGGCGCTGGAGCGGGCGGGCGGCGACGCGCTGGCGGCACGGCGCCACGCCGCGCTGCGCACGCTGGAGGGCCTGCTGGCGGCGATGGAGGGGCTGGCGGAGGCGGGGGAGTACCTTGTCACTGGCGGTAGGGGGCCGGTGGTGATTTATGCCGCCCTGGCTCCAGAGCTCCAAGAAGAGGTGGGCTGTGTTGCTGTGTCAATAACACAAGGATGCGACAGGGGGAGAGGAGTCATGAGGGGCCGCACGCACCTTGCGCATGCCAAGGCATCCGCCGCCGGAGCACGACGCCATCTCCGCCAGCACATGCGCTACCCAGGGCCGAGATGTGGAGGAGGGCACGCGGGGCGCGGCGCGCCTACCCCTCAGCGGCGTGGGGCTGCCGGACCCACACACCGTGTACGACGTGCACGCTGCGCATGCTGCGGGCGCCGCGGTGGGGGCCGGTGACCCCATGGACGACCCCGCTGTGGCCCCCCTGTGGCAGCCGGCCGACCCGGGGGTGCCCCAGATCGCAGACACCCTGCCCCCGAAGTGAGGCGGGGGCCTGCATTGGAGGGTGCTGGGCGGACCGGGTCTGTGTGTGACCACGGCGGCTCAGCTACCCCCCCCCCCCCCCCCCCCCCCCCCCCCCCCCCCCCCCCCCCCCCCCCCCCCCCCCCCCCCCCCCCCCCCCCCCCCCCCCCCCCCCCCCCCCCCCCCCCCCCCCCCCCCCCCCCCCCCCCCCCCCCCCCCCCCCCCCCCCCCCCCCCCCCCCCCCCCCCCCCCCCCCCCCCCCCCCCCCCCCCCCCCCCCCCCCCCCCCCCCCCCCCCCCCCCCCCCCCCCCCCCCCCCCCCCCCCCCCCCCCCCCCCCCCCCCCCCCCCCCCCCCCCCCCCCCCCCCCCCCCCCCCCCCCCCCCCCCCCCCCCCCCCCCCCCCCCCCCCCCCCCCCCCCCCCCCCCCCCCCCCCCCCCCCCCCCCCCCCCCCCCCAGGATCGTGGCCGGGGGCCGCCGCGGCGGCCCTGGTCGGGGCGCAAGGGGGCGCAAGCGCAAGCTCAGCCAGCCGTATGCCTGGAAGGTTGGTGGGGCCGAGGGATGTCCATGGCAGGGTGCATTAACCTGGCTGCCTCGCGCCTGCCATCCTCCCTGCCCCGCACAGAGGGGCCCACTCCATGGCGCCATGTGGGGTGAGTTTCAGCATGCATCTTCCCCTCGCTGAGCGTCACAGGTGCTGGGGCAGGGAGGAGACTTTGACGCCGTGGCTGGAGGGACCCAGATCTCCAGGGCAGAGTATGCGGCTGCCCTGGGGGAGGAGCTGTGACGGGGCGAGGGGGGGAGGGGGGGAGCAGGGGCTCAGTCCTCCCAACCAGGATTCTGAGCTTCGAATGCCCCAGTCACCCGGATCCGACCTTCTGGGCCAGGCAGGTTGCGGCGCTGCCCAATGGAGATTTTGTACCAACGTATGGTGCTCTGACTGACACTGTGTGACAGTGCTACCTGGCATGCGGAAAAACCACCATCACAGGAATATCATCACTGTGCCGGGGAACGCCTCCCCCCCCACCGGATCGTGGCCGGGGGCCGCCGCGGCGGCCCTGGTCGGGGCGCAAGGGGGCGCAAGCGCAAGCTCAGCCAGCCGTATGCCTGGAAGGTTGGTGGGGCCGAGGGATGTCCATGGCAGGGTGCATTAACCTGGCTGCCTCGCGCCTGCCATCCTCCCTGCCCCGCACAGAGGGGCCCACTCCATGGCGCCATGTGGGGTGAGTTTCAGCATGCATCTTCCCCTCGCTGAGCGTCACAGGTGCTGGGGCAGGGAGGAGACTTTGACGCCGTGGCTGGAGGGACCCAGATCTCCAGGGCAGAGTATGCGGCTGCCCTGGGGGAGGAGCTGTGACGGGGCGAGGGGGGGAGGGGGGGAGCAGGGGCTCAGTCCTCCCAACCAGGATTCTGAGCTTCGAATGCCCCAGTCACCCGGATCCGACCTTCTGGGCCAGGCAGGTTGCGGCGCTGCCCAATGGAGATTTTGTACCAACGTATGGTGCTCTGACTGACACTGTGTGACAGTGCTACCTGGCATGCGGAAAAACCACCATCACAGGAATATCATCACTGTGCCGGGGAACGCCTGTCGAGAATGCTTGGATGGTGGTATATGTAGCATACAAAGATCCTAAGTGGATAAATTAATCGCCCTGGGAAATAAATATTACCGTCGAAAGTTTGGCAAAGGTTTCCCCGCGCACGCAGACCTCCACGATTCGGGCGCATTCTTCCCCTTAGGCAGGTCGGCCGAAGAGCTCCGGGGGCGGATTCATTAATGCCGGGCGTATCAGGAGAGGCTGTGCAGAAACGGAGCCCTGCGGGCCCCGCCTCACCTCCCCCTTTTTACCTGACCGTCCACGTTTACAGGACAGTCACCATAAAAAAGTGCGTGCACGTCGTCAGCAAGCCTGTGAAACGAGTACTCAGACGGTACCGCCGAAGTCGAGCCGTAAGAATGCGCCTTCGCTCTGCATGGAAGGCCAGCTCGCGTCTCGCGGAAAGGACGTGTCCGACATAGAAGTTCTGGTCATCGACCGGAACTCTTCGCGACGCCAAAGTACCGTCGATTTGGTGGGATCGTGCGGATATCAGGTGAGCGTATCTCCCGTGGTAGGATACGTGGCTCAGATTGCCCTGCCCTCCCGGCCTGCTTACCTGCGATGCGAAGGCTGACAGTCGGCAATCGTCACCGTCTTCCTGCCCCCAGGTCATCACCGCGGAGTCGGGGAATGATGCCCTCGAGCTCCTCACCGTGCGGGCCCGGGGCGGAACCGAGGGTCAGCCGGGCAAGGGGCTGCCCTCCATCATCCTGAAAAACCACGGTCAACCCCACGGCAACGCCCCTAAGTTCCTCAACAGGCTTCGCGCCGCCTTGTTGCAAGCCATTCCTGTCATAGGTGTGTGTGTGGGAGGGCTGGGGTGGGGCTTTGATGCAGGAGTGCAGGAATGGGAGTTCGGCATGGGGTGTGAGACTTGATGATGTGTTACGTGTGGCGTGTGCAGTGCCCTGAAGTGTGTGCAGGGCCCGTGGCGACCTGGTAGTGTGTAAAGGGGGCTTAGATTCTCCAATCTGACGGACTCATATCTCATCTTGGCCTCCTTGCCCATGGTGGTGCACCCTTGGAGACATGTGGCACGCCACACCACCAGCCCCCCAAGCGCCTCTGTATGGTCGGAAAGAATTATTTTGGCCTTCTATGACCCCCCCCCCTCCCCTTCTTCTCCCTTTCCCCTGCAGTCCTCGGGAGCGGGGACGATGCAGCGATCCTGCAGTGCCTCTCCCTGGGCGCCGTCGACTTCTGGGTGTACCCCCTGCGCCAGAATGAGGTGGCGGGGCTGTGGACCAGGGTGTGGTGGCGCAAGACCGCGCCGCAGGGCACTCTGCCCCTGGGCAACCACGTGGGGGCCGGGCCCGGCGGCCCGGCCATCGACAGCTCCGGCGACAGCTCCGAGTCTGAGCCGGCCAGGTATGTGGTGCGGTCCTGTCGGCGAGGGTCCGCTTGCTGCGCGACAAATGCCTGGCTGTGACTCGGCGTCGCACCATGCCCCTCAACCGTAAACAGCTCCCGTGCCTGCCCCACCCCCGGGCCGTCGCCCCCACCCGCAGGTCGAAGACGAGCTCGCCGCTCGCAGCGTCGCTGGGCACGGAGGCCCCCGCCCGCGCCCGAGCCCCCGGGTCCTCCACCTCTGCCGCCCCCGGCGCTGCCAGGCGGGAAGACGAGGGCGGCGCGGGGCCTGGGCCTCGCACGACCCCGGACGCTGCCCCGCCCGGGTCGTGCGAGGGGTCCGAGCAGGGCCTCTGCGCACCCGCCGGCGGCGGCCTGAAGGCCTCCTCGAGCGCGCCCGGCCGCCTGCCCCACCCCGACTCCTCCGACGGCAGCGTGGCCACGGAGAGCATGGCCGGCTCCGGCGGCGAGGGCCAGCTGGCGGAGGTGGCGCAGACACTGACCACGCTGCGCGACTCCGGCGGGTCCAGCCTGGGCACCGGCGAGGCGCTGGGGCGCGCGGCCGGCGGCCTGGCCGCGCCCCAGGGCAAGCCCTGGGCGCTGGAGCCGCGGGGCGGCGGGGGCGCCGGGCCGCAGGTGGCCGCGCCGCCCTCGGGCGCCGGCTCCGGCGGCGCGACGGCTGGCCCCGCGGCGCCTGCGCCTGCCAGCCTAGCCCCCGGCGACCACGCCAGCTTTGCGGCGGGGGCGCCCGGCTGGACCCCGGGCGCGCATGTCGGCCTGGGCTCGCGCGGCGCGGAGCTGGCGCGCGGCTCTCAGCTGGGCTCGGCCCTGGTCAGCCAGCAGCCGTCGTATGGGTCGGGGATGGCGTACGGCCCCCCCCC